CTGTAGGCCAACTTTCACCTATTTGAGATTCTCCAAATACCAAAAACAGTTATCGACATTCATGTTTTTTATTGTTATAATGTCTTTGTCGCATTGAGAATCGACCTCCGAAAATCTCCAACTGTACTGTATTGTTTTTCAATAAATAACTAAACTTTTATCAACATTTCAGGAAAATATTACGTGCCCTTAAGTGTAGACTACGCCTGCCTAGCCCGATACCTGGGGCCCTATGACGTTCTAGATGCCCGCGCGGTACACCTCGCGGCCCCACTTCACCCCGTCACTATACACGTGAATTTTCAGCCCTGTATGAATTATCACGTCAAACGAGAGCCCACAGAACGTGATTGGCGGGCTGCGTAAGCTCCTGATATATTTCCTCACTTCAGCGTATCGACTTAATTGCTCGAACAATTTTCACAGGCAATCAAATGACGTTAATGTCGTTCAAATGATCAGTGGCAACAAAGAACGCAAACACTATACAGTGAGTTACGTGAATGAAGTGCGTGCATCTTACTTGTGAACTTGGATAACCATGAAATGGGTGCACACATCTAGGTTAAAACTCTGACTTTTTACTTCACTACATTAAAAAATTACAAGTACCTATCTACTTTAAAGTATGCAGAAATATAAATGTTACACGGAGTCATACTTGCTATAGGAAGATAAAATTTGGTACAATGATGGTGAAGAGTGACTTAGTGATATACCTTTTCATTCTAGTATGAGGTTAATTCTTAACGCAAATTATTTTACTATTGAACAGATATGATACACATGTAGGTACTTATATATGTTTACGTAGGTACCTATATATGATTATACGTATTGTATATGTATTTTTGGACATGTCTATACATTTGTCTCTATCTGGATGTAATTCTATCAATAGTTTCTTCGTAGGTAATTGTAACATTTCATAAAATCATGAATTAATTAAGAATTAAGACATGTTAATGATTAAAAACATCCGCCCCCGTAGCATTGCTACGCATGATAGTCGCGACACGCGCGATAAAATTGAAATAAGTGCGCGCTATTGGCTGTCTCAATCAGATCTAATTTAGATATCATTTAATATAACTGTAACACAGCTTTAAGAACACTTTATCTCTTATAGGAAGAAGACATTGCAAAATTTGGTAAAGAAACTTTCGTATTTTTAATATAAGCAAATAAAAATATTATATCAAAAAATAATTAATGCTTTCCGATTATAATGTTTCAATATATCTTATCACATTTCTGAAAGGTATGGCATCGTAAAAGTATATTGTGGGTACTGAAAATTTACCTGCGACACTGATATTACTGTATCTATTTTATAGGCACTATAGTGCTCAGAATTATTGTTGTGATTCTGTAGCAACATATTTTCGATTATAAAGAAAATAAAACATTAATTATCGGCTATTGTAAATAAGTTAAGGCACCTGCTCTTGTCAAGTAAGGTGTAAATTTAAACAATTATTGTGTGAAAAATAAAATTCCAAATTGTAAAGCTTTGTTCAACGACTGGTCTTGTCTCTAGTCAAACTTAAACAAAGAAAAAAAATGTTAGAATATAAATTACCAATGAATAAATGAAATTTATTCAATATAAATACGATATCGAAGTATGGTGTTGTGGTACTTTTCTAAATTGATGGTTTTGTACAAACTACGTACGTACGTTGGACAAATTGGGATATTAATTTTTCTGCCATTACCCCTTTCATTTTTCATAATTTACTCTGACTTCAACCTTAGCGAAAACGCTATAAAAGAGAATAAAAATGTTAAATAATTTTTCTTGATAATATTACTTGAACGGGTTTATTCCATAAATCAAGATTTTCTCTTGTGAGCTGCCCTTACATTTTACATTGGGGGCCTCCTGATCTTTCTACAACGCTCTTCATATTATCCAGACCTTTGTTAAAATAGAAGTGTCGTGTATCAAGATTAATTGTAAATAATAAATGTATATAATATAACAGAGGGTAAATGTAAGGTTTCGAAGTAAACCTAGAAATTGTCAACGGTCCTAGGCTGCTAACAGATGGACTGCATGTTAATGTGTGCAGTCGACATTTATTTTATATTCGATATATATATTATTCGATAGTCCGAAAATGAAAAGCAGCCATTGGACATTCTTAAGAGATATGTCTATTTTTGTCTGAAACAACTTGATTACTTGAGAGTTTAATCAATATAATGATAAACAAAAACACAATTAATTGGTGAAACTTTTCTCGACTGATTTATTTTACATTTGCACAATACTTAATTTTTTTTGTAATTACATTCTACATTCGGATATTCCACCGCAAAGTGTAGTCGTGAATTACGGACGTGAGCTTATTTTGTTGATAACTTAAAATGGAGGATTTCGATAGTGATGTATCAGCATTTATAATAAATGTTCTGAATACGGAGATAAGCTAAAAGTAACACGTGTGCTTCCATTTCGACATCAACGAATATATTGAGCTCCTGCAGCTTGATTTTGATTGCCTCTCCTGATCGGAAATTGCGTCTCTTCCGAGTCGAGGCGCATAATTGCGATTCATAGCTGGCCGATTGGAAACTTTTAACATTTCTAATCGGAACAATAGTTGTTTTAACTCACAAATTAGAAATATATAGTAGGAAAAAATCAGGTTCATCTTCTCGCTCAGAACACATCTGATTTCGAGACTACCCGATCGGAGCGATTGCGGTTTGAATCAAAATCAGGACGCTGAATTAGGCGCGGGGCGATAATTGCTAGCAGTCAATGTCGATTACATGCAATTGTATATAATGATTTCGCGCATGCAGTCCGTCTGGTGGCAGACTTAGTTTTACTAAGCTGGAGAAAATGCTAGTGTTCGTAAATACGGCTGTGATAGTAAAAGTCTGCACTCGAGGACAGACTGTACCGTTGTTCGTAGGTCCTCTCGGTAGTTGTGTAGGATCTTTTTTTTATGGAATTTTAAGGGTAGGAAGGCGGGAACATAATTAAACTTATCATTTTGTACCTGTGCATGTAGTAAGAGGTCTATGAGGCATCTAAAGACATCCCACCATGTTAAATGTTTGTTATTTCGCTCTCTTGAAGTCAATGTCTGAAAATAATATACGATTTTGTCTATCATTTGTACTTGAGATATCAAAACAGGACATTCCACAACGATCCCAGTATATTTTTTGAAATAATATTATTTGTAACTTTGTGTAAACAAGTAGTGTCACTACCAAAATGAATTTAAGGTACAGTTTTTGATTTCTATGATGTTAATAAGGTCCAGTAGGGTATTTTTTGACAACCGCGAACCACGTCATCGTCGGTCGCATTATAGTTACAAACATGGTTACAAATATGGTAACTCCATACAAACGTAACAGCGAGGCTTGTATGTGTGCGCGCATTGTACGGACGCACACATCCGCATAATCTCGCAGTGCACATGCGTTGCATAGCGCGTATCACGCGCTTTTAATTATAGATTTCAAGCGGTTGCGGCGGACGTGTTTATTGTTGTGTTTGTGGTAAGTTAGTTTGAACAAGAGTGCCTCGCATTCAGAAATGTACAGCATTTAATTTCTATTTCATAATCATACTTCATAATTATGATATCAATCCGTGGCGCTGGTATAAACATGAACATTTTCGCGCCGAACAAGCGGGAGTTGCCTACTTGTCTTAACCGATGCGCAAACGTCTGTCTTGTGTTGGATCCAAGCAACCGGCAACTAGAAGCGAATATTTTATTTTCATACAATTGCGGTTGCGGCAACCGGTGACAGTGTCCGACTGCCGCGACCGGCGACTGCATCGATTTCATATCAATTGTATGAAAATAAAATATTCAATTCTAGTTACCAGTTGCTTGTATACAACGCAAGACACATGTTTGTGCTTCGCCTTACTATACTATAGTTACATTGTAGCTTGATACAAGACATCAACCCTTCACAACGTAAAATGAACATGTGCGCTTTGAATGAGTATCTACAATTTTTTCGTTAATTTGCATGATTGATAATCTTTTTTTTATGGTCATTTTGATCCTGTCCATGTGCCAACTACTAAGTACAGAAAGTAAGCGCGTAGTCACATGAGACGCACCCTTCGGTACATTTGGTCTACTTTCCCGATCGGTCCACTTTCACCATTCGTCTACTTTCCTGATCGATCCACTTGTTTTTCCCGATTCGTCTACTTTCCTGTTTGGTGTACTATCCCATTTCGTCTAATTTCCCGATAGGTCTACTTTAATGATGCGTCTACTCAGATACTCTCAGTACAGAGTACTAAAAAACCGACCTCAAAAGTTCGTAGAATTACATCTATTTTTTATCTAAGTTTTATTGAAATCGGTTACCGGAAAGTGTGCGGATCCGGATTCACGCCCTAGTTTGCCACCCTTAGAGATAGAATATTTTCTTCAAATTTGAATAAATGAGCCACTACTGAGGTACCCTTTTTCCAACAAAAAAAAAGAATGGTCAA